CAGTGAAAAGCATGATATTTTAATAGATTTGCCTTTGCTATTATGTCACCAAGAACTATTTTTAATAAAATTATAATCAAGCATTCACTAATTGGAATCTTTGAATAGGAACTTGAAAAAATATTTTTGTGTCTTTATTTCCTGCCCCATTAACTTTTAGGCAAATAGAGACAGATTTACTGTATGGGGACATTTTTAAAAAGACACCTTAGCAATACATTCAGATGCAGCCTGGTGCTCTGTCTCTGAGGTTGGCAGCTTTCCTGTTGTGATGTGTAATGCGTGCCTTCGTGTGTTCTCTCAGTGGGCAGGTAGAGGGTGTTTCTGCCTTTTCCTTTCTTAGAAATTTCCTCACTTTGTCCCTCATGCAAATGATGGTGCATTCCTCTGTTGGGCAAGGTGCTGTGCTAGCTGTGTTTATGTGACCCTGGAGGATTCACCGTGATAGGGGGCCCCGGGCAGTGTACCAAAGAACAGATGTTTTGGAATATGTGAATGATGCCCGGATGTGGACAGAGGTCACACGGAATCTGGTGTGTTCCATTGGCGTTGGCACTTTCTATATTTGCCAGTCCCTCTCATATCTGTCTGTGCTTAACGCCAAACAGTGTACGTATTCAGTTATATGGAGCAAATTGGAACCATTACTAAATATTCATAAAAATTCCCTTGTTGTAACTGTTTCCTTCTATAAAAAGATAATTTTCTATTTACCCAAATAAAAGGCAAACTGAAGTACCAGTTTATTTTAATATATAAACTTTGAAGGCTGTAGATGAAATGGTCAAATGCATATTTATAATATTTATTTATTTATTTTTTAGGAAGGAGGGAGGGTGGCGGTGAGGGTGGGTTGGGGAGGGGACATAATATTTATAAGTTTAGGGAAACATTCAATTTTAAAACTTGTGAGATGTTAAATTTTTTTTACCTATTCTCATATTTAATCATATACTTTTATTCAAGTTCTTCAATGAATATTTAATTTCAGCATCTACATTTTCACTAGAATCATTTTTTGATCATTTAATATACCTTTTCAAATAGGTCATCTTCATTTCTAACTAGATTGTTTGAGATATAGCAATTTTTGAATCTGTCCTGTCACTCAAAATTTTATTCTTATCTCGTGTCATTTGCATAACATTAAGTTTTTTAAAAAATCCCTCATGTAAGTTTATATTGATACTCTTCACAATATAACTGTTACTGGAAAGAGGTCCCGATTCAGATGCCAGGGGAGGGTTCTTGGACCTCGCACAAGAAAGAATTTGAGTGAATCCATGGAGCAAAGTGAAAGCAAGATTATTATGAAAGTAACGGAATAAAAGGATGGTTACTCCATAAACAGAGTAGCCCTGAGGGCTACTGGTTGCCCATTTTTATAGTTATTTTTTGATTATATACTAAACAAGGGGTGGATTGTTCATGCCTCCCTTTTAAAACCATGAAGGGTAACTTCCTGACATTGCCATGGCATTTGTAAACTGTCATGGTGCCAGTGGGGACAACCAGAGGTCACTCTCGTTGCTGTTTTGGTTTTGGTGGGTTTTGGCTGGCTTCTTTACTACAACCTGTTGTATCAGCAAGATCTTTATGACCTATATCTTGGGCCAACATGCTATCTTATCCTGTGACTTAGAATGCCTTAACCATCTGGGAATGCAGCCCAGTGGGTCTCAGCCTCATTTTACCCAGCGCTATTCAAAATGGAGTTGCATTTGAGGGACTATGTTAAATTCTCTTCCTAGGTCCACAAGGGGCGTAGTTTCAAAGGCAAGAACTTCCCAGCGCCATCCACATCCATGCTTCCATCCACTGCCCCATCCGGGAGCCTAGAGTTTTTTTAACTTTCCCGGGCGCCGGCTAGGTAACAGCCCAGGTGAGCTTACTTTGTTTAGAAAGCCGGCCACAAGCTCTGAGGGAGGAGGCTTTGATTGCGGGCCAGGCAACCAATCCTATATCAGAGTTGAAGATCAGTTGCTCCAGAGGAAGTTTGGAAAAGCTCCTCTCACTGGACGAGAACTTGAATGGGGCAGGAGTAACTCCCCAGTTAAAATCCGACCTATTCCCTTTCCTATAGGGACTTCATCTCCGGATCCTGTCCTGCAACAGCATGGGAGCTCTCTCTGTCTCTGTTTCTCTTTCTCTCTCTCTGCCTAATAAATTGCTTTTCTGCAAAGCTCTTTGGGTCCGATATTTACTTGAATGAACTCACAGTGCCACCAGGGCCCCTTCCCCATTCTTGGGTGAGAAAGGCCCAAGGACCTGGGAGAACACATCCGATCCCGGAACAGTGAGCATCTTGGGACACAGCTGCCACCCTGCTCCTGTAACCTGGTTCCACTCTGCTTGAAGTGCCTCTGATATACCACTTACTCTATTGTTTGTTAAAGTGTTAAGAGTCTGGTTTAAAACCACAGTCAGTGCTACAATTCAAAATGCATATCCTGATTACTAAGTCTGTGTTAAATTTCCCAGCTTCCCTCTTTTTATTTCCCATTACTGATTCAGCCATACTTGCTTGTTATTGCCGTTTTCTTCCATAAAAAGAAATTTTCTGTTTATCCAAATAAAAGGCAACCTGAAATATCAGCTTATTTTAATGTGTACACTTTTAAGGCTAGAGATGAAACAGTCAAATGTCTATTTATAATATTTACTCTGGAAGTTTAAACATTCGTATTTTAAAACCTGTAAAAATGTTAATTTTTTGCCAATTCTCACATAGGCAGTAAAGGTAACCTCTATAGGCTCCCCAAACTGGCATTGAATAAGACCGTTTCAGCCCTAGTGTTTCTTGCCTGAACAGTGTTTTGTTTTCTTTAAATTAGTATATGTGCTTTCTTAGGGTATTGGCTCTTTCCCTCTCTTCCATAGCAATGAACACTTACACCCACTGATCAGGATGGGCTTGAATCTTTATTTGCCCCCCTCGTATTGCTGATGGACCCTTGCAATAATTTATCTGATAATATTTTCTAATATTGTAAGCTCTAAGAAGATTTTAAAAACACATTCCAATCCCTTACAAATATGTAATTCCCAATTCTCTTCTAGAGGGTGCCCTCCCGAAGGGTGAAGGAACATTGTTATTTCTCTCTTGGTTGTGATATCCATTTTGGGCTTTAGATGTCAACTATATTTGTGCAGGGCAAATAGTATCTAACTACTTCAAAGTTTATCTTTCTCTTCCACCCTCATACTTCATTTTAGCTGAAGAGTAAAGACACCAAAGGCCTATAGATTTGGGTTTTTAAAAATTATAGTAAAATACGACACACAATTTACCATTTTAACCATTTTTAGGTATGTAGTTCAGTGACATTAAGTACATGTACATTTTTGTGTTCACATGGCCGCCATGTTGTTACAGATCTTCTTATCCCACACTGAAACTCTACTCATTAAACAATAAACTTCCCTCTCTCCTCTCTCCCCATCCCCTGCCAACCAACCACTGTTTTATTTTCTGTCTCCAAGAATTTGACTATACTAAAGCAGCTGAAAAAAGTGGAATAGTACAATATTTGTTCTTTTGTGTCTGGCTATTTCACTTAGTATAATGTCTTTAAGAATCTTATATATTGCAGAATGGGTCAGAATTTCCTCCATTTTGAAAGTTGAATGGGCCAGGCATGGTAGCTCATGCCTGTAATCCCAGCACTTTGGGAGGCCGAAGTGGGTGAATCACTTGAGGTCAGGAATTCGAGACCAGCCTGGTCAATATGGTGAAACCCCGTCTCTACTAAAAATAGAAAAATTAGCCAGGCGTTGTGGCACGTGCCTGTGGTTCCAGCTACTCTGGAGGCTGAGCTAGGAGGATAACTTCAACCTGGGAGGCAGAGGTTGCAGTGAGCTGAGATGGCACCACTGCACTCCAGCCTGGGCAACAGAGCAAGACTCCATCTCAAAAAAAAAAAAAAAAAAAAAAAAAGCTGAATAATAATTCCTTGTAGGTATATGTCTTGAAGAAAAAACTTCTCCTCTATCCTCTATTTTGTGCCTGGAAGAGTGCAAATTAAGCTGACGGGCATTAACAGGAGAATAAAGGTTTATTTATGCGCATATGAACGCAGCAAAAGCAGCAAGCTCACTAAATGATTGAAGTTAGAGCTTACGTATGTAACTTAGGGGGAAAGGGAGGGCAGAGAAAAAGCTATGAGAAGAACAACTGGGTTTAGGAAAGACAGATGGGTTTTTAGTAGAACAAATGGAGATAACATTCTTATTATGCTGATAATTTTTTTATGTTGATACTTTTTTAAATGCAGGTGCCACTGATTCTTCTCTTGGCTTATTGCCATTCCTCAAGAGCGCATTTATGTCAGGCTTACCTTCAGTGTCCCTGGGGGTTGACCCTTCTCAAGAGGGAATGTTTGATAGCCTCATTTTCTAGAACTTGCTGCTTTTAGTCACATAAGGGAAGCTGTGAGAAGGCTTTGTTCTGCAGCCATTACATCTAAAATGTCTTTCGTTTATAATAATCTTCATACTGAAGCAGGATATTTCCCTTACCCCTTCGTGGGATTTGCAACAGGGGTGCCCTGTTTACTCAGCCCACCACTCTCCTCGAGGGAGGGAGCATGTGAGCAAACAAGGTGAAAAGTAGAGTACATGAGTGCTGGAACTAGCTGACCGTTTTGGCATTGGCAGGGTTAAACTCCACTCATCAGATCTGCAGCGTTAACCCTTGTGGGAGGGGAGCACTCGGTGAGTGGGTGCAGGAGCCAGGGCAAGCACTTTCAGGCACCAGCAGGAGCAAATTTCTGTGCAGGCCCAGTGGCAACATCTAGGGGAGATGCCTGTGACCCCTGAAGCCCCAGAGAGCATGTTACAGTGCCCTTTTAGCTCTGCCATCTGTAGATGGCCTGTTAACAGTTCAGTGGGCCCTCTGCCTTTTCACATGAGGTGGCTGCCCTCTGCCAGCGAGGGCAAAGGGCCAGTGTGACAGCCTCTTGTATCCACACTTGTGGCTCCTGAGCTCTTATCTGGTATCCAGGAAAAGTGAGGCTGCACGAACAAATTGAAGGATGGTAAATTCGAGGATTTTATTGCCAATAAAGTAGCTCTTAGTGGGAAGGGGAGCTGTAAAGGGGATGGGGAAGTGGGTAGGTAATCTTCCCCAGAAATCCAGCCATCTCCAGCTGGATTCTTCTCTGAAGTTACACCATCAAGCTGTCCCTCTAAAGTCAAGCCACTTCCTTCTGAGGTCCACTTGTAGTCCCTGGCATCCAGCTGCTTCTCTCTGCTGGCTGAGTCTAGGGCCTTTATAGGCACAGGATGGGGCAGGGCGAGGCCATGGGTCATTTAAAAAAAGGTAACATTTGAGCTGGAAAACAGGGATAGAAGTTTTCACTTTAGGCCATGGTTTTAGGCTTGAGGGTGGGGTTTTGTCAGGAACCCACCCTTAAATTTCTGTGCCTCCTGTCCCTATCAATACCAACTCTGAGGTTCCTATAGGTCCGCACCATATATACTATATTTTGTTTTTCCATTCATCTGTTGAAGGGTATTTAGATTGTTTCTACCTTGGACCATTGTGAATAATGCTGTTATGAACACTGGTATATAAATATCTGTTGAAATCCTTGCTTTCAGTTCTTTTTAGTATATACTCAGCAATAAAATTGCTGGATCATATGCTAATTCTATATTTAATTTTTGGGGAACTATACTGTTTTCTACAGCAAACAGCTGCACCAGTTTGTATTTCCATTAGCAAAGCACAAGGTTTCAAATTTCTCCACAGTCTCTCCAACACTTGTTTGTTGGCTTTTTGTTGTTTCTTAGGAGTATAAAGTGCTATCTTGTGTTTTGGTTTGCATTACCCTAACAATTAGTGATATTGAGCATCCTTTCATGTGCTTATTTGGCCATCTTTATGTATTCTTTGGAGAAATATCTGTTCAAGCCCTTTGCCCATTTTTTTAAAGATCTGGGCTTTTTTTTGTTTTTTGTTTTTGCCTGAGGGTTATTTACCAAAGAGTAATTCTATGTTCTTATTTTCTTCTCTTTTTAGAAAAAAAAATCTTCTCTATTTAAAAAAGAAAAGAAATTCATGTTTATTTGATTTTTAATTTTTATTTTGTTTTGAGGCCGAGTTTCACTCCTGTTGTCCAGTCTGCAGTTCAATGGCGGGATCTCAGCTCACCACAACCTCCGCCTCCCGGGTTCAAGCAATTGTGCTGCCTCAGCCTCCTGAGTAGCCGGGATTACAGGCATGCGCCACCACGCCCAGCTAATTTTTTTGTATTTTTACTAGAGATGGGGTTTCTCCATTTGGTCAGGCTGGTCTTAAACTCCCTACCTCAGGTGTTCCACCCACCTTGGCCTCCCAAAGTGCTGAGATCACAGGCATGAGCCACTGCACCCAGTCAGAAATTCATGTTTATAAAGATCTCACCTATCATACCCAATGTATTGAAATCCCAGATTTGGGTATCAATTCTCTTCTTCATTTACTATTAACAGAATTGCCATTAACTTTGTTTAAAAAGTCCAAATGGCCCAAAATTACTATAACTTTATTTTTCTTAAGTACTCAGTTCCTTCCATCTCCCCCTTACTCTTTTCTGTAAGATGCTCTTGCTTATTTTATTCTAGGCAACTATGTAGTCAGATCCCCTTTCTTATCTCTGTTTAATATTTGCGTCAAATTCTATGTTCCTTAGGCTCCATTAGGTATCTGATATAGTTACATACTTACCTGAGGTGAGCAAAAATCACCTGGTGGCCAGCAAGCGGACCATCTGGAGGCAAAACTCCTTATCTGAGAAATTTAGAGGTATAATGAGGAGAGCAAAGATCACCTGGTGGTCATCAAGCAGGCCATCCAGAGGCAAAACCCTTTATCTGAGGAATTTAGAAGCAATTAGCCTTCTCTGTTATCTAAAGCCAGCATCTGGTTACCAGGCTGTTTTCCCAAAATTTGTAAGTAGCTAGAATTTCTATATATCTCCTGAACGCATGTGTATCGAAACTCATTGTGCAGCCTTTGCTGACATCAAGGCACCAACATGTCTACAAATGTAATCGTCTATCATGACCTGCAAAAATAATATGGCCTAAATTACCCTTAAGCTCTTGCTTTAAGGTCTATAAATACCCCTAAGGAAAATCCACCAAGGCCTACTCAGTCCTCTCTTGCTGAATTGCCTTGCTACAGTGTTCCTTCTGTCTAATAAAACTTTACTTTTCAAACCTGTACTGTGGTCAGTAAATTCTCTTTACTACCTGCGTGCCAATCACTTTCTGTTGCTGGGGCTCTGCCACCTTGCCCAGCATTACCAAATTAGTAATCTACTTTGGAAAGCTGGAAGCATTTTGCATACCTTCTCTTACCATTGAAGTCTGACCACTTTACAGAAAAAGGAGACCACTGTGAAAGGTAAAATTCACATTTTGTTTTGAACAACCAAAATTCCAACAAAAAGAATAACATAGTGTTATGTACCTTAAATGAATTATGGTGTATCCCTATGGTGGCGATAAAATAGTCATTTAAATTTATACTTATAAAATTTTTATTATTATTTATTTATTTACTGAGACAAGGTCTCACTCTGTTGACCAGGCTGGAATGTCATGATCATGGCTCACTGCAGCCTCACTCTCCCAGGCTCAGGCTGTTTTCCCTCCTTAGCCTCCCAAGTAGCTGGGATTACAGACGTGCCCCACCATGCCTGCCTAATTTTTGTATTTTTAGTAGAGACAGGTTTTTGCCGTGTTGGCTGGGGTGGTCTGAAATGCCTGTTCTAGTGATCCACCTGCCTCAGCTTTCCAAAGTATTGGGATTACAGGCATGAGCCACCATGCCTGGCCTCTTGGGCCTGTTTTATAAAGACAATACTAATCCCATTCACCAGGGCTCTGCCCTCATAACTCTATCACCCCACAAAAGTCCCCACCTCCAAATATCTTCACCTTGGGGGTTAGGATTTTAACATATGAATTTGTGAGGTCAGAAGGAACATAAACATTTTAGCATTCTCGAAGATTATGACTTTGGAAAACCATAAAAGACCTGTGTATAAAAGCAAGATGGGAGGAAAATGCAGTTAACTTATTGACAGCACTTACCTGTAGGTTTTAGGTTTGGGTAACTAGGTAGTCACCAGGCAGATAAGAGTGCTAACAAATGCTTAGAGCTATGAAAATTCATCACATCTATTGGAGTCAGCAGGGAAGCTGTTTATCTGTAGATTACCAGAGCAATACAATCAGGAGGCTACGTGTATTAGCAATTGACTTTGCTTGACTTGACAGACCTTTTAGTCCTCTACCTTGGTAAATGTTTATTTAAATTCACTTATTAATGTTTATAAAACAGTTTTTTTGGTTAAAAATCTCAGGCTTGTAATAAACAGATTTTACTAGCCTATACTTCTGCAGATATTGTTACCAGCATTTGTTACTGCTTACCACAGTATAAACCGTGACTTGAGAATGCCTGTTTGCAGTGCCAGTTATTTCAATATCATTGTTATTTGGGTTGAACAACTGTGCAGTATTACATTTTTTTCACAAAGTACTAACGCATTTTTATTTTTCTTCCTCTCAAGATGAATGAAAATTTTGTCATGGAGTCCCTACCATCTGTACCATCAACTGAAGGAAACAGTCAGCAAGGCAGATTTGATGACCTGGAAAATTTTAATTCATTAGCAAAAAGTAGTCTGGATTTAGGTTTGTGGCTTTTGTTTCTCATAAACACAAATTATATTATTTTGCAATTTCTCAGTTTTATGTTTGTATACATGAATTTCATTGTCATGTTTTTATTCATTGTGATATTTTGAATTTACATCTGCTTCTTAATTAATCTGCTTCAGAATACCTGAAAGAATAAACATGCCTCAGATTCCAACTTAGAGTTTTCAGATTCTGTTTTCTGAGATGGCTACATTTTCTCTGCCTCATGTTGCATTTTATTAGCAGTATGGATTGAAACTCAGACTGGTACCTTACGTCAAATCTGAAATAAGTCTTTACTAATATATATTAAAATCTCTGATGCTCTTGAGTAATATTGTTAGCTCATTTAATGGGACTGTTAAATATTAATAAAGAGAGGCATATTTTAAACATTTATGAAACATTTTAATAGCCATATATTATAGTCAATTTTAGTACATTAATAACTTAGTTTCCATAAAAGAATTCTAAAAGTATAGTGCCTCTCCCTGCCTCCCCTCAATATCGATTCTTATATATGTTTTAAAACTTGACTTTAGAAAAGAATTTTCCTTCATCTAACACTGAAATAGCGAATGTCATTACAAAATTGACATCCCTAGGGAGATTGTTAAATGCTTTCGTAGCACTGGGATTTATAGAGCCATTGCTGAGGATTTATGGTGTCCTTCACTTGTTATGAGTACTTATAAGTCTTTCTCTGTGTTGTATGGTAATATGTTGTAAGGGGAGAGAGGGCTATAGAAAGTGATGTAACAGTTTTATGTGAGATTAGGATTCTCTTAAGTAAATTCTGAAAAATGAAATACTTAAGGCTAAAAATTGAAGGCATCTTTGAGATGCTAACATACAGTTTCCTGTAGGTCAAAACAGCACGGAAAAAAAAAAGAATATAGATACTTAATTTTAAATATCTAAGATTAGATGAACCTACCCAAGTTTTCAAGATCATGATTAGGAGAAAAATGGGACTTCCCACCCTGCCCCCGCCCCCCCCGCGCAAAGTAAAGCTCTCCAGGTATACTGCTTTCTAAAATTCACCACATTTCTTATAGTTCTCTATTAAACAGTTGGAGAAGATTTATAGCACAAATGTTTGAGTAAATGAATAAATAGTATCTCTTTCAGTACTATCAATACCTTAGCAAACTATCAATACTATAGCAGACTATGACATCCTTTTGGACCAGATGAGTCTTTTGGTTGGTGTGGGTACCTGTGCACTGTAGGATGATTACCAGTGTCCCTGTCCTGTAACCCTAGATGCCAGTGGCACACCCTCTCCCAGTCATGATGAAAATCAAAATGTCTCCAGATACTGCCAAATGTCCCCTTGTTTATATTGTATAAACCACTGGTTTATAGTGTCAAGATCAAAAGAAATAGACTAGCTATATGGCCTGGTGTTTGGGTGGAGGAGCAGTGGAATAAGGCAATCACCTCTGTGGGAGGTGCTTGTATCATGAGGGCAGATCTCCTGCTCTGTTCTCATGATAGTGAGAGAATTCTCAAGAGATCTGATGGTTTAAGTGTGTGGCACTTCCCGCTTTGCACATGCTTGCTCCCTCTCCTGCTGCCATGTGGAGACATGCATGTTTCCCCTTCACCCTTCTGCCATGATTGTACGTTTCCTGAGGCCTTTCTAACCATGCTTTCTGTACACACTGTGGAACTGTGAGTCAATTAAACCTGTTTTCTTTATAAATTACCCAGTCTCGGGTAGTTCTTTATAGCAGTGTGAGAATGGATTCATAGAACTTTCATTTATCCTGGAACATTTCTTTTTTAAAAAATTCTCTGTTTTTCTAACCTCTGTACCTCTGTTGTGACCATTACCTGACAACTGCAGAGACCCTAAAGGACTCAACCTTTATCATGGGCTCCTGGGTTTCTCGGTGCACTTGGTGGACAGCTCTGTAAAGTGTAACTGTGCAAAGCGCTGTGACAGGTGAGAAATGTGTGTCTGTGCCCCGACAGAGTCCATGGAGGAGACAATGGGGCCGAGGGCACAGGTAGCCTTTATGTGGTGCAATTCATGAAGCTTTAAACTGCACCAACTTGTGCAACTGAGTGGTGTAGTTTAACAGGCTGCTTTTTCCAGTATAGCTGGATGGGACACAACTCTGTAAATAGAACCAGCTCCGTTCTGAAAACTCTGCTTTTAGGCCATTCCTGCCTGAGTGCCAGTCCTGCCCCAATCCTTCCTCCTTAGTGGGGAGGAGGTAGACATTGGCAAAGCTAGAACTGTGGAGCAGTGCTTTGATTGTCGTGTGGGAATGGAGGCCCTCGTGCATGGGAGCAAAGGGGCGTACGGAATGAGGGAAAGGTAACTGAGACTTACTTTAATCCCACCTGAGCGTGACAGTATTTTCTCCCCATATCTGTGACATTGCCAACTGATTCGACCCTGATTCCAAAGTTTCTAGATGAAATAAAAAGCAGAAGTGATAGTGAGTTTACTAGAAAATTTGTTTAAGATGAATACATGGAAAGAATTTTGGTGATGATTATAGGAGAAGTTTTAGGCTGGGTATGGTGGCGCATACCTGTAATTCTAGCACTTTGGGAGGCCAAGGCAGGGGAATCACTTGAGCCCAGGAGTTTGAGACCAGCCTGGGCAACACAGGGAGACCCCATCTCTATTTTTTAAAGTTTTAAAAGAGCATCTATGTTGCTTAGTCAGAGGTCATTTATGATTTTAAGGCAAGTACCCCAAATGTACTGCGAACTTTAAGGCACACAATTTATCACATTCTTATAAACATGATAAGAACAATTGGCTGAGAATTTATAATGAATTACTGTGGTACATCCTATGAGTGATTAGTGGGTTGATGCCAGCATAGGTACAGGTCTCTAACACAGGCCATAGGGCTCTATGCACAGGTTGCCTTGGTGATTCTTTTTCTTGGGAAATGGGGTAATGGCACAGATGGCACGTTGGATAAATTCCCACATTCCAGGAAATTGGGAGGGATTGTCAGTATGTTGGATGACAGAGCTAAGATCCAAAGTGACCCTGATGATGTAGAATGAAGCCTCCATCAAATAAGATAAAATATTAAAAAAGAAGAAGAAGAAAAGTTTGAAGCTGTGCTGTTTGGACCCATAACCTAACTGCCCCCTTCTCAGATGGGAGAGACGTTGTTGGTAATTTGTTTTCTATCATTGCAGAGTTCTTCGGTATGGTGAGAAGAACAAATAAGGCTCACAGGACTTAGGGTTTTAGAATTTTTCATTTTTTTTGAAGCCCAACTACTTCTGAGTCCCCTTCTTTTGCTTGGTATATAGCTAAGCAACAGTGCTTTTTATAGTGGCAAATCAAAATATTGGTAAAATTCCATCTTTTTCAAATCAAGCCTCCTCCTCATGCTGTTCCTTCTACCTAGAATGGTATTGCAGATTTTTATGGGACTGATTCCCTATCACCATCCAGGTTTTTGACTATCATCAATTTTTTTCCCTCCCCTCCCTCTCTCCTCCACTCCCCTCCCCTCTCCCCTCCTCCCTCCCTCCTTCCCTCCTTTCCTCCTTCCCTCCTTCCCTCCCTCCCTCCTTCCTTCCTTCCCTCCCTCCCTTCTTCCTTCCCTCCCTCCCTTTCTTCCCTGCCTTCCTCCTTCCCTCCCTCCCTCCCTCCCTCCCTCCCTTCCTTCCTTCCTTCCTTCCTTCCTTCCTTCCTTCCTTCTTTCCTTCCTTCCTTCCTTTCTTCCTTCCTTCTTCCTTCCTTCCTTCTTTCAGAGTCTCACTCTCTAACCCAGGCTGGAGTACAGTGGCACAATCTTGGCACACTGCAACCTCCACCTCTCAGGTTCAAGCAATTCTCCTGCCTCAGCCCCCTGAGTAGCTGGGATTGCAGGTGCACACCACCACACTCAGCCAATTTTTATATTTTTGGTAGAGACGGGATTTCAGCATGCTGGCCAGGCTGGTCTCAAACTCCTGACCTCAAGCGATCCACCTGCCTCACCCTCCCAAAGTGCTGAGATTGCAGGCATGAGCCACCACACCCGACCAACTACTCCATCTAAAATAACCTGTTTCTTTCTGTTCCTACCTGTTGCTTTATTTTCCTTCTAAGAACTTACCATGTCCTGAAATCATGCTGTGTTCATTCTGTGTCTCTCTCCACTAGAATGTTAGCTCCCAAGAATAGGAACTTTGTCAGTTTTGTACACTTAGCTATCTTTAATCCCTAGAATAGTTCCTGGCAAGTAGCGGGTGCTCTATAAACATTTGTTAAGTGAATTTGTGAATGCGTGAATGAAGAACAGCCACAGAATGTTGGATACACTTAAAGGTATTTTTGTAGCATCAGCTTCTTCCCCCAATAGCCACAGAAGTAAAATACTTAAGTTTTGTGTCTTCTCACATTTATTTGATGGGAAACAAAAGGAAACATAGAAGGTGCATTAGAACTTTTTTGTTTTATATATATATGCATACATACATATATACCTATATATATATACACGTATATATACATATGTGTATATATATACACACATATGTATATATACGTGTATATATATTTGTAGAAAGTGATTTATTTAAAGAGAGAGAGAAATGGGAAGGAAAGAGAAAGAAACAGCTAACTCTCATACTGAGTGAGAGAATGCAGAAAGATGGAATCCAGGAGATGAAAGCAGCTTCCACACTGAGTGGAAGGGAATAGAGAGAGATGGAGTTTAGGAGGGGAAGAGAGGCTTCCATGAGAGAGTGTGGAAGGGGACTCCAGAGGGGAAATCGAGGAGAGAGAAAGACGGCTTACACGAAGGGAGTGTTTGTGGAAGAGGACCTAAACATGGAGTCCCCTTTGCTAACATTTTCTAGGTTAAGCTCCACCAGATATTTTTTTTTAATCCATAAAAGGTATGCAAACCAAAAAATAGATGTCCACAATCTTGATAAGAGTATACACTTGATTTCTTATCATTTGGATAAAAGCTACGTTATTATTACTAAACCCAGTACAATAGTATTTCATCATCTTACACATGTTTGAGCTTTCAGTCATACTTTAATAACATAATATGTAATATTTTAAAATAGTTTTTCTTCCAAGAACATAGTGTTCAAAGAAATACATTGCAGGAAAAACTGTTTTGGCCACCATGGTGGCTCACACCTGTGATCCCAACACTTTGGGAGGCCAAGGCAGGCAGATCACTTGAGGTCAGGAGTTCAAGACCAACCTGGCCAACATGACAAAACCCTGTCTCTACTAAAAATACAAAAATTAGCTGGGTGTGATGGTGCACACCTGTAATCTCAGCTACTCAGATGGCTGAGGCATGAGAATCTCTTGAACCTGGGAGGTGGAGGTTGCAGTGAGCCGAGATCACACCATTGCACTTCCAGCCTGGGCAACAGAATGAGACTGTCTCAAATAAAAACAACAACAAAAACCTGTTTTAACTGTAGTTCGTGGTTCCTGTGAAGCTGCCCCCATAGGCTGCAGGATAAGGCTTCTGAGCAGACAGGTGAAATTCAGGGTCCTCCCCAGCATACAAGGTCCCCACGGCTGGGCTCTCCTGGATGTCTCCACTGCCTGCTTTACGTATTCTTCACTCTGCACTGAGCTGTGCATGCTAAACTCTTCCAAACATCATGCTTTTCTCTGTCTTTCTAAAAAACAGAGAACAAATAGTGCCTTAGGTTTCCCAATGCTTTGCACAATACCTTGTAGATAAATTTAATTTTATTTTATTATTATTTTTTTTGAGACAAGGTCTCTGTTGTCCAGGCTGGAGTGCAGTGGCACAATCTCAGCTCATTGCAACTTCTGCCTCCCAGGGTTCAAGCGGTTCTCCTACCTCAGCCTCTCAAGTAGCTGGGATTAGAGGTGTGTGCCAACACGCCTGGCTAAGTTTTGTATTTTTAGTAGAGACCAGGCTGGTCTCGAACTCCTGACCTCAGGTGATCAGCCCGCCTCGGCCTCCCAAAGTGCTGGGATTACAGGCATGAACTATTGCATCTGGCCCAATTCTAGGCTCATCATTTACCTTGTTTGATTAGGCACAATTATTTTAGGCTCCCTGTTTTTATCGTTTGAATAAATGACATCCCCAAATCACTGAAGGTATTTAATTGGAAGTCTCATAGCTCCTTTGGAAGATTATCAAAGATACACATGTTCTGTAGAATGGACTGTGGAATGCACAATAGATGCAACTTCCATTCTAATCAGGACATCAGCTATATATTTCTTTGTTTTTCTACCTAGGAAAACAGTATACTCATTATTTTTTAAACTTAAAAACTCATTGTTGGTTTATTAAGCAAGTTTTGTGTTTGTTTGTTCAGAAATGTTTGCCAGGTGCTTTCTGTATAGGAATGCTGCTCTGGATCATGAAGGTAGAGCAGTGAACAAAATAAAGTCAGCCCTCGTGGAGCCCACGTTCTGGTGAGGGCAGACAATGACAAATTAATGTGTAATACAATCACCACAATAGATCATATGTTGATATATGTATATATAGTAAGCACAGTATAACTATCATATGTAAGAGTCTTTGTGGGTATGTCCACATATATTGTCTATACACATCCTCACACACACACTACATAAAGATAATGCATAAGGTACAATACACAGGATTCAACACCTTGGTTTTCTATGGAGAGGAAGTTGGGCTGTGTTATAATGGTTGATTGTTTAAAAACAGAATATCGGCCAGGCACAGGTGCTCACACCTGTAAACCCAGCACTCTGGGAAAATAAAGCAGTAAAAAGAGAAATTTTGAGGAGGAGTCCTATTTTATTTATATGGAGTGATTTGGCTGTTTTAGTAGGATGACATTTGACTGACACTTGAGTAAAGGAAGTCAGCCCTGTGTGAAAACCTTGGGATATGGCCGAGAGAACAAGAAAGGCAAAGTTCTTGAGGAGGTTGTATGCTTGGTGACGAAAACCAGTGAAGTGTGTTCCTGGAGGATAAACAAAAAGTAGAAATAAAAAATCGTTTGCAGAGATAAACATGATTTGCTTTACAGTCTTCCAGATTTTTTCCAGTTTCTGTGAAATGCTACCTGTCTACCCTCATAGCTGGTTCCTCTCAGCTTTCTCCCTCAACCCCAGAGCTTCTGGGTTTCTTTTTCCTTTTGTTTTTGTTTTTGAGACAAGGTCTCGCACTGTTGCCCGGGCTGGAGTGCAGTGGTGACATCACGCCTTACTGTGATCATCCTCTCGGACTCAAGTGATCCTCCTGCTCAGCCTCCCAAGTAGCGGGGATTACAGGCACGCTCCACCAAGCCTGGCTAATGGAGTTTCACCATGTTGCCCAAGCTGGTCTTGAATTCTTGGGCACAAGCAGTCCGCCTGCTCAACCTCCCAGAGTGCTGGGTTTACAGGTGTGAGCACCTATGCCTGGCTGCTATTCTGTTTTTAAACGATAAACCATTATAACACAGCCCAACTTTCTCTCCTTAGATAACCATGGTGTTGAATCCTATGTATTGTACCTTAGACATTATCTTTATATAGTGTGTGTGTGAGGATGTGTACAGATAACATATGCGGACATACCCACACAGACACCTATATATGATAGTTACACTGTGCTGACTATATATACATATATCAATGTATGATCTATTGTGGTGAGACTAGAGGAGCTTTCTTTAGTTTATTTGGGCAAATATAAGGAGAAAATACTAGCTTTTAATTTCTTAAATTAACATGATAATTGTGTAATATACTACTGGCAAGGACATAAGAAGTAAAGTCTAAAAATGTTGTCCCCACCATAACTTCTCAATCTTATTATGTGAACCCTCCTAAGTAGAAATCAAAATTAATAAGAATTTGTTAGGAAGTTTGTTGTAAATATTTAAATAAATTATGGCAATCTGTACCTTTTACTTGCTGGTAAAAAATGGGCCAAATTTCTTAACCTTACTTTTCCTGTCTATAAAATATGGTTGATAGTATCTTTTCTTTCTAACTCATAGTTTGATGTGAGAATTAAATGAACAAGTGTAGGCTGGGCTCAGTGGCTTATGCCTGTAATCTCAGCACTTTGGGAGGCCGAGGTCAGGAGTTCGAGACCAGCCTGGCCAACATGACAAAACTCCACCTCTATTAAAAATACAAAAAATATTGTATTTTTACACGCACCACCATGCCTATAGTCCCACCTACTCAGGAGGCTGAGGCAGGGAGAATTGCATGAACCCAGGAGGTGGAGGTTGCAGTGAGCCAAGATTGCACCACTGCACTCCAGCCTGGGCAACAGAGCGAGACTCCATCTCAATAAATAAGTAAATAAATAAGAACAAGTGTAAAAGAATTCTGAAATTTATAAACAAAGCTCTTTTGAAAATATAAGTGATTTTATTTGGTTTATTTGTTATTCTGTGGATTTTTTTTTAATCAGTGAAATGTCACAGTACTTACTGGGAAAGCTTAGTTGATAAGAAAAAATTTGTAGTAAGATTAGATTTTTTAGTAATATTAATATTGCATAAATGTCATTTTTTCAGTAAGGCCACTGAAAATTGTAACCATCTTCTGTTGAACAATTCCTATGCTCCTTCCTTCTTTATTTTTCACCATTGTACTTATCATCATGTGATATACTGAAGACTTTATTTATTTACTTTAATATTTTCAGTCTCCTACCTGGAAGAGTCCCCACCCATAGCAGGTGTGCATACCTAGTTGTTGAATGACTGAAGGAGAATGAATGCCTCTTGTGTTCACTGTCATCTGGATTTGCTCTTCAGGCATGATCCCGAATGATGGCCAAGGTCCTAGCTTGCTCATTGACCTTCCTGCTGTGGCTGAAAGTAGGGAGCAAGAAGATTTGCCTTTATGTCAACACCAAGCAACGCGAGTTATTTCCAAGGCCTCAGCATACACAGGAGCGTTGTCTTCTAGATATGCCACTGATACATGGTATGATATCATTTCTATTTGTTTTCACATTATTAAATAGTAGATTTTTTTTGCTTCAAAAATGCATGATTTTTGTGGAACATTTGGAAAACACAGAAAATACATAATTTTTGTGGAACATTTGGAAAATACAGAAAAATATTATGAATAAAATTGACTATACTTGACAATTACTATGAGAATTTTATATACTTAAAATTTTGCTGTATGTATCATGCAGTTGTGCACAAAATGGATTAGATAGATAGAGCATTTGTTCAGAGAATGGGAGATTAATTCAGAGTTTATTTTAACAACTCAAGCAAATTTACTTGAGGACAAATTAAAAGAGGACCAATTTAAAAGTGAGAAAATCTACAAGAATCCCTGGACTCATTACATGTTGGGTGTAAGAGGAGGTAGTTGAGGATGACTTGTGTTTCTGGATGAGTAAACTAGATAGATAGTGAGAAATTCATGTAACAATAGGAGCATGAACGGGTTGGAAGGGAAAACGATGAGTTCAGTTTGGAACATGTTGAGGGTTAAAGGATCT